TTTAGGGTTTAGGGTTTAGGGTTTAATAATTAGATCGGGGTTTTGGGCTCCTTGATAGTATAATTACAGAAATGAACCTGAGGAATAACAAGAGCTCCAGGGACGAAGCTTGGAGTTGTGCGGTTTTTGGGAGTTGTTCGGCTTTGGGGCTGGAGGGTTTTGGGTTTTAAGGTTTAGGGGTTTAGGGTTTTAGGGTTTAGGGTTTTAGGGTTTTAAGGTTGGCGTTTTCGGGTCTGGGCCATGGTTTCTGGGCTCAGGCTTCTTAGAGTGCTTGTTCTCCACGTGCTTCTTGTTTAGGGCTGTCTAGGGGTCTAGGGGTTTTAAGGGTTTAGGGCTTTGGGGGTTTAGAGGGCTTTAGGGGTTAAGGGTTGTACTTTGCAGTTGGGCTTTGTGCTGTTTTGAGGAGCTACCAAAGGCCAGCAAAGTAAAAGGCCTCAAGACGAAGAAAGCAGGGCAACTTTTTGGAGGCGTTTTGAAGAACGGTGCCGGGGGCCTGCTTCATGTCAGAACCGAAATACTGAGGCTTGCACAGCCCCTCGTCGCCGGCTTGCAGCTTCACGAATCCGTTACCGAAGCATGATTGCATCATGGGGCAATACCCATGAGCACCGTAAATGCGTCAGATGTTCTATTTATTGTGTTTGGCATCCCGTTCGCGGTCCGCGAGGCTTGCAAGGACCTCCTCTAACGTAAAGTTGGTCGTGGCGAGTCCGCTTGTCAAAAAGTACACATGCTCGTGCAAAGCCTCCATTGTCCAGCCCCACCGTTCACCGTGGAGCCAGAGGTCGCTGACGATTGTCAACTTATCGTACCAGAGATCCTGGACGATCTCCGTCAATGCCTGCAGAGAGGCCACATCGTTTAATTGCAATTGGGCGACGTGACGGCAAGTGACCAGTGACTGTAATTAATTGAGCTTCGCTTCCCTACCCAAACCCGTAAGAAAAGGCTCCACCCTCCTACCCAGCCGTTTCACGCGAGCCTGCTCCCGTTTCTTCTTCATGTCCTGCCGCCAAGTTCATGAATGCTCTTTGCGAAATCAAGCACTCGTGTCATTGTCACTGTGAGGATAATTACCCTTACTTTGCAAACGCAAACAGTTCACTCTGTGTCTAGCATGATTGGAGTTGCTGCAATTACTGTACTACTATGATCTCAGTGACCTTTGCCACTAACCGCTTGCAAGTCCACCACTACATAGTAGAAACACAGGAGTCTCAGTAGCGGTCGCCGTCGTTGCAGCAGCAGCAGCAGCAGCAGCAGCAGCAGAATGATATTAAGCTTCGATTGCAGCAAAGGTGGTGATTGGGTTTCGATTGCATCGTAGTTGCTACTGCTGCTATCCTTGTTGCAGCTGTTGCCTCATCATGCTTGATCTTGACGGTACCGCAGCTGTTGTTAGCCAGAGGTCAAGCCATCATGACGTCCGTATCATGATTAAGTCTTCACACCCGACACCCGGAACCCTCAACCCTCAACCCTAAACCCCAAACCCTAGACTCTCAACCCTAAACCCTAAACCTTCAACCCCAAACCTAAATCCTGAAACCCTAAACCCTCAACCCTAAACCGTTAAGGTTCAGGGCCCCCAGCCTCAGGCTGTAAACGGGATCACCCCACATTCTGGGCTCTTCTCAGAAGGTTTTTATTTATCATAATCAAGAAACAATATTATTCTCTCTAGATCCCTGTTGTGGTAACTTCAACTAAGTCCCTTAACACAAGGAACCCAGTAATACAGGGGCCTAAAGAATTACCAATACTACTTTGGGGGTTCCTCATTATAAGTATAGTATGAAGGCCCCCAAAACCCTATTCTGATTATTAAGGCCCATACATTAAACCCTAAACCCTGAACCCTGAGCCCAAAACTCTAAACCCAAAACCCTAAACCCTAAAATCTTAAAACAAGAACCCCAGCATCCCACTAAACCCGAAACCCTAAACCCTGAGCCCAAAACTCTAAACCCAAAGCCCTAAACCCTAAAACCTTAAGACAAGCCCCAGCATCTCACCAAACCCGAAACCCTACACCCTGAGCCCAAAACTCTAAACCCTAAACCCTAAAACTCAGAACCTAAGCCCCGGCACTCCTTGGCTTTGCCCGGCAGGGAATGCTCTAGATATTCCAGGTAGCTCCTCGGGTTAGGGTCGGAGGGTATTAGGGTTTGGGGTTTAGGGTATGAGGGTTTAGGGTTTAGGGTTTAGGGTAGGTGGCTCCTTGGTTTTTGGCGCTTTGGGCGTGAACATCTAGAATTTGGGTTGCGACAGTGTAGGGTTTAAGCTTGAAGGCTTGACGGGGTTTGAAAGCTTTATTTCTACAACCATGTCGGCTTTCGGGGGTGGGTATACTCTAAAAGGGTCCTCGGGAGCAAGCCATTTCGAGTTTCCCCAACCACAACCCCCAGGGCTCAAATTAACAGTCCTTTGCCGAATTTTGGGAGCTGCAAACTCAAAGCATTCAGGATTTATGGGGTTCGAAACCCTGACCTATATCGATTAGGTAATCATTGCGGGATTATGTCCATGTCTCTGCCTGCCTGTCTATCACACTACTTATCTATCTATCTACATATCTACCTATGTACTTATCTACCTATCTATCCATCTATCTATCTTATTTCGATCCATCTATATCTCTATCTGCCTCTCTATCTATATAGGTATGTGTGTATGTATGTATCTGTGTATGTGTGCATGCATGTATGTCAAAGTAGGCATGCATGCATGCATGCATGATTGCTTGGTTATTTGTTTGTCTCTGTGTGTGTGTGTGTGCGTGTTTGGTTTGTGTATTTGTTCGTTTGTTTGCGTGATTGCTTGCGTGTTTGTGTGTGTTTGTTTGTTTGTTTGTTTGTTTGATTGATTGTTTGTTTGTTTGCTTGCTTGTTTGTTTGTTTGTTTGTTTGCTTGCTTGCTTGTTTGTTTGTTTGTTTGTTTGATTGTTCGTTTGTTTGTTTG